AATAACTTGCTCAGCATCACAGAAATATAAAGTAACGGAGCTGCATGGGTCTGGTCAAAACCCATGGAGATTTTGCATGGACCAGTGGACTCATTTCTGTCCTTTGGCATTCCAGGTCTGATGTAGGATAGTTTCTAGCTTGGTTATGGGAAAGGGGCAGGGGAAAAAGTCCATATTATTAAGTCTTAGGATGAGAGTTAGGCTGAATAGGGAGAATCAGCAATAGACTCTGAAAACCAATGAAATGGATGGATAATATTCTGTCCTCTATTCGGATCCCTGAATTTCTACTAATGCCTGTAAAATCAATATCATCAACCAGCCAGCTAGCATTCACTAAGCCACCATTTCATGCTTGACTCATTATTGGAGAATACAAAGCTGGTAATGCCATTTTTTTTGACATAGTTTATACTGAGATATCTTTCTTCCCCAGGTCCTATCATTTATGTTTCTCTCCCAAAAGCAATTAAACAGTTTCTTAGGTTTCTTTCTCCTCTGGGCGGGGGGAAGATATTGGAGGCCCACTTGTCCACACATGGTTGATGAGTAATTTTATTGACCACACGCCTGCTTTTCATGGAAGACAGAACCAGTGGTAAAGTCTAGTAATTCTGCCTGACTGCAGTCTGGTTCTTTTTGCTCATCTCCAGTTTCTTACATAAGGAAGTCAGATCTTGTCATCCTGTCTTTTTTCTAGCACATGTCAGCCTCACCTGGGAGACTGCCCATATTTTAGGTTAGGACAGTTAGACCAGCTTAGGTCTTGGCTTTGCTATCTCCCTCATCTTTCCTCTGGGACTGGCTGGTATGATTCAAATGGGACTTTCCACCTGCAGAGCAGCAAGATAAAAAAGCAGAGTCAGAGGATATGTTAACCCTTTAAGAGCAATGGCATTTTCTAAACCAGCTTGTACCAGAGAGTTCTAAATGCATGTAATCTCTCTCAAAAAAAAAAAAATTTGGTCCCTACTACATGCCAGGAACTTATCTAGCACCCTAGCACTAAGGTACAATAACAAAAAGAAAAAGTCTCTGCCCTCATGGAGTATCTAATCCAGATGGGAGGACTGAGTAAATTATACTGTATGTTAGCCAGAAGTCAAAGCTAAATAGGTAAAATAAGAAAGGAAGGAGGGACAAAATGTTGTGGGGAGGGTGTTAAAATTTTAGATAAGCTAACCAAGGATGACCTCAGTGAGGAGATGGAAGGAATAAGTGAACTGGATGAAGTGGCACTTTTCCCACATTTTCCAGTTGAATAATTGCTTATTCAGAACTCCACAGGAAAGAAGGGGAGGCTGGTATGTTTCTAATCTCTATCTGTCAACATTTCATTGGAAAAGTAAAGCAATACACCCATAAATGGAATTTCTACCATCTTAGGGTATACACACGGAGGTTTGTTGATTGTTCAGTGAGTAAGAAGGGGGCCCTTCTATAAGGTCAGGTGTCCTAAAGGAAGAATGGAATTTATATTGACTAGTGGAGGAAGGGGCAGATTGAAGGCAGGATAATGCTGTGACATAAGGAGGGGAATGTATTACTGGGAATAATAGGGAGACAGAATATTCTAGTAGGAAAGATGCTTCCACATGGAGAGAGTGAGAGCCCAAGGCTGGCCCAGCATTATTGGGAGGTGAAGAATATAAAACATCTAGATTGTAGAGGTCCTTGACCATCAAGTTTAAGAGACTTCTTTCTAGTTCTGCTTTGTTCTTAAGAAGACCCTTCCCATCACAGTCAATCAAAAGAACTGGCAAAGTGCAGGGCATCTGTCCCAGGCATGCAGGACTGCTGGTTCTCTAGAACAGTCATAATAACACGCATGTTTTCAAACTCCTAAACATATAGTTTATGTCTAAACTATTAGAATGGTAAAGGTGCTTAGGATATGCATCTCTGACCTTTTATTTTACAAATGAGAAAATCAGCAGATGAGAGGTTTCAGGGGCTACTGCAAGTCATATCACTCAGTGCATGGGGAACATGGGTTCCTCTTCCAGATCGTTTTTTTCCTAAAGCTTCTTCTAGGGTTGTTTTTCTCAAAGAAACAATCTGGTGCTCAGTGCTGTGCTAACTTGATATAAACAACTGATTCTCAAACTGGTGTTCCATCAGTCTCAAGCCTCATTAATCTAAGAAAAGCTGGTTCCTGTCAAGTTAATTTGGACATGCTGTCTACTAGATCATCTGGAATAGTTAAAATGCACATTAGATAAACGTAGGTTCTAAAATTCCTATAATAAAGACAGTTATTTAATTTCAGTGTAGCATTTCTCCAGACTTTCACTGTGATTTTTTTTATACTTTTTTCACTAAGCATCTATCTCCTTGTGAAACCCTGAGCAATTCATCCTCAGCACCAATTGTTGCTGCAAAAGAGGAAAGTAGATAAATCAGAGAAATTTTAGAGGAAAGCATTAAGCAATCAAGGAAACAGGCAGTTGAAGAAATGCAGTCTTCTTCCTTTTATTTTCCACCTTTGTGTGCTTTCTTACCTTCATTCCTTCCTTTAAAAAAATTAACTTTCAGCATCTACCACATGCAAATTATCATGCTACAGGCTTCATGCACATCCTACTGCCTCTACATGCAAGATCAGTAACATCATCACCTTCAAATGAGGAAACTAAGCTCAGTGATGGTAGGTGGCTTGCCCAAGGCTACACAGTTAAATTAGTGGCAGACCACAGATTCAAACCAGTGTGTGATTAAAACCAGTATTTAATGTGCCATTTTCTGTTTCCTCTCTTTTTCTTCTCTCTCTCGAAATGTCAGTCACACAGCATATATGTTAAAACTAATATCCTCATAATTAAAAGAAGATTCTGGACTCCAAATGAGGTATAACAATAAGGTTCCTACAACTCCTTTGCCTCTTAGCATTTAATCTTGCATGGAATTTAGCTTTTATGTAACTAGATCATGGGATCCTCCAGGGCAGGGATCTGTTACCCATGTTCTGATATCCTCATTCTGCGTTGCCTATGAATGCCCTCTGCTTGCAAGGTTAAGGTGATCAATCCAGAAATTTTCATTGACTGCATACTCATTGATAGCTGGACTCTGCCCATTATCATAAGGGTAATTGCAGTAAGTAAGATCTTTCACCAAAAGAAAGACGGCTTTCTCTGTGGCAGTGGGAAGAAATTCAAAATTCTACAAATTGTTATAGCAAACGACAGCCTGCCCCTTAGGCCTTTCACACCTGCCAACCGGTCTTCCAAGTGACTTAGTATCATTAAGAGGCTGCATTCAGGTTGTTGCCTGCTCCAAGAGAGGTGAATTGCAAATGTCTGGAAGGTTATTTAGCTATCATCTATGTACATGCTTCTATGCCCTACTGGATTTATAGACTCTGGGAGGCTGAGGGCTGCATCTGGCTCACCCTGGTTTCCCTCACAACTCTCAGCCCAGGGCCTAGGATGGAAAAGGTTCTCAACTGTTTGAGTTCTTTCTGAAATCATGCTTTAGAAATTTAGCAGTATGATGAACCAGACAGAGCTAGGCTTTATACTGCTCCCTGTATGCTCTCATGTAATTTGACATGTCAAACTTTTGACACACATAGTTTATCACTGTTCCAGTAATTTAACCAAGGCACATACAAAATACAGTCCAATTTGGTCCAACAATAGACTGGCCCAACCAAGGTTAACCAGTGGAATTTCAGCCTTTCTAGTCCTCATCAAACAGCCCCTAAGACATTTGAACCAGTGCTCCCTGACTGGTCAAGCTGAAAGTCAGCCTGCTGCCCAGGTTCTTACATCCAACCCAGACCAATAGTATTGAATCGAAGCTGTGGCAGGAATCATAGTCTATAACCAGGATTTAACCCAAAGCATAGAGGCTTATTCATAGGCTCCCAGCTTTCTCCACTGAGGTATTCCTAAAGAGAGGCTCACATTACCGTGATCCTCAGAGCCCTTGCCTAGGTGGCACAGTTCTCTCATGAGGACATTTCATCTAATTCCCCTTTGGGGGAGGCAGAGGCCCTGCTCCAGAGCTAGTCGGGCAGCCCCCTCCTTTCTGCCCTCCCTTCTCTTCTCCTCCCCTCCTTTCTTTCAGGAGTGAGAGGTGGGCAGCATTCCCTGACATGAGGGCAGGAAGGAGGGCATGAGAAGAGAAGATCACTTCAGTTCTTTACTTCTGGGCTTCAAGTTCATGACCATTAGAGGTTCATAACTGACAGAAGTCATTTTGTAACCCAGATTGGTAGTCTTCAGTCAATAATGACAATTCATGAGAAGGCAAGTATAGGAGGCAAGTGTGATTGAAGAGCATATGACCTTCTGGACCTAAGGGAGACCTAAGTTTAAAAATGAGTTCTGTTGCTTACTGGTGTGCAACCTTAAATAAAGTTAAGTAACTTCTTCAAAATTTGCTGTTCTGGTTTGGATGTGAGGTGTTCCCCAAAAGCTTACGTGTGAGACAATGCAAGAAAGTTTAGAGGTGAAACGATTGGGTTATGAAAGGCTTAACGCAATCAGTGAATTAATCCCTTGATGGGGATTAACTGGCAACAGAAGGCAGGTGGATAGGTCGTTACTGGAGGAGGTAAGAATTGGGGGCATGCCTTTGGGGTGTATAGTTTGTATCTGGTGAGTAGAGTCTCTGCCTCCCCTTCTTGGTGGCTATATCCTGACCTGCTTTCTTCCTCCACATCCTTCCACCATGATGTTCTGCCTCACCTCCAGCACCAAGGAATGGGGCCTGTTATCTATGGTCTGAAACCTCTGAAACCATGAGTCCCCAAATAAACTTTGCTTCCTCTAATTATCCTTGTCAGGTCTTTTAGTCACAGCAGCAAAACAGCTGACTAAAAAACACTTGCTTTCTTCCTCCATAAAACAGTGAATTGTTTTAGCTTTCTATTGTTGCATAAGAAATTCTCACAAACCCTGTGGCTTTCATAGCACACACTTCTTATCTCACAGTCGCTGGGGATCTGGAGTCTAGGCATCTCTTTAACTGGTCTTCAGCTTTGCACTTCTTACCACACTGCAGTTAGATGATCAGCCATGCTGTGTCCTCATCTGGAGGTTTGAATGAGGAAGCATCTACTTCCTTTCTCATGCTGCTGGTTGGTAGAATTCATTTGCTTGTGGCTATTTGACTGAGGTTCTGACTGGGGATTGGCTGGAGACACTTTCAGCTTTTAGAGGACATACCCAGCTCCTGGCCACAGGGCCCTCTCCATAGACAGTAGACAATATACTGTTTAATACTTCAATGCCAGGAAGAGATTTGCTCCCTCAATCTATGAAGAAATCTAATATAACATGTCATCATTATGGGATGGCATCACAGCACCTTTGCCATTACGACATGATCTCATTAAGGGAATGGTGTCCTGTCCCATTTGCCACATTCCAATGGTTAGAGCAGGACACAGGGAAGGGAACTATAGAAAGTAGTAACTCAGTGGCTCACCCTTAGGGTACGTCCACCACAGTGATGCCACTTTGGGTTATAGTGAGGATTCAGTGAGCAGTCTGTGCAATACACAGGAAACAACTCTGGGTTCCTTCCCAACATGGAGGAGACACATGGAGGAGTCCAAGATAAAGTTTGGAATCGGGGATGGGTAGTAAAAGAGGGGCACAGCAAACAGGGCAGGCGCCTCTGCCTGCAGCCTGTGTTAGAAGCAGTGCATCATCTCTTTGAATGTTTTGGTTGTTTTTTTGTTTGTTTGTTTGTTTTTTAATTTTGGGGAAAAGAACTTCCTAACATCAATCTCTCATGATTTACCTTTTATCATATCATTGTTTTTTCATGTTTCAGACCACCATTTTTAAATCAGTAAGCACCATTTAAGGAGTTTAAAAAAATTTCAGTGTCTTAAGGTAACTAACTGGAAGAATTCAAGTTTTTTAGGTAAAGTGATGTCTATGAGTTTCTTCCGTTCATTCTTTAAAATATACCTTTCTTTTCCTCTTTTCTCCCCCAGATCCCACAACTAGTTTTTTTTACATTTCCCCCTTTGCTCCATGCTTTTAGACACATGTTTATATAGAAATTGTCTTGCAGAAAAATTCAAGTGAATCCAAGACATCAGTGAATTGGAGGGGAAAGATGTTAGGGAAAGTCAGAGCAGAAAGCTGTTGATGTCTGTGTACTGGTGAACTAATCCAGTATCAAAAGAGAAAGAAATGAAGTATTCAGGTTTGAGGGGGGATAGAAGAATGAAGAGGCAGAAGTAGTTTATATATAAAAAGAGATTAATGCCAAGTACCTGATTTTTTACAAATGATGGTTCTTTTCCAGACCTCGAGCCAAATATCTTTTATAAAGCAGCCTTTCTTAAAGAAATTGTGCCATATCTCCAGTGTAAGAAAATTTACAATAACTTTTATCTCTAGAGGCTGAGTTAATGGTCATTCATCACTGAAAAAATTGATGGTCTTTACTGTTTGGTGAGGCATTTTAATTGAGTGCTGTTATAATTGGTGGTATTTTCTTTTGTGGCCTATACTAAATTTGAACAGGGGGTTTGGGGCCCATGGAATCATGCCATATGGAAAGAGTTCAGAACTCTTATGTCCAAAAAACCAAATTCAAGCCCCTGCTCTGTCACAAGCATATTTCATGACCCTGGGCAGTCACTAAACCAACCAGGGATTCCATTTCCTCACTTTTCATGTGAGAATTCTGAAATAAAATATTGGCAGCTAGTGACATCACAAGGAAATGACAGTCATCAGAGCAGCTCACACATAGTCAGCACTCAAAGAGTTAAGGATGCATAGAGAAGATTATACAAACAAATGCGCTTTAGGGCTAATAACTTCTAGAAAATATGCAAATCTAGAATAACTTTTACTTGTTAAATATGTTCAGTTATAATAACATATTTAACTGTCATAGTAAAGCATATAATCAAATAATGCATATAGTAATTTGCCACTGAAAATAATTAGGCCCTCAATTAAGAGCGAATCTGTGTCTGGAAGGCATATCCACAGTCATCTGATCTGAGCCCCTCGTTTAGTGACATGGATGAGATCTAGGCTGAGAAAGGTCAGGTGACTCAACCAAGGTCATACACTGAATAGCAGAGTTGGAACTGGAAGCCAGGGCCTTGCCCTCCTGCTCAGTACACCTTCAGCAGGATGGGGTGTGCACCCACGTGATTCCCAGAAAAGCGTGGTAACAGTAGATACTGTAGGCCCTGGCTTTTATATTCACAATAATGACTTTTTTGAGAAATAAAGTTATGTTTTGAGCAATTACTTGGATTATTTAATTTCAGTTGTACGGAAGTAGAGCTTTGAAGTGCCAAAAAATGTCACAAATTCTGTTTGAATGATCCCAGATTCTGGAGAGAGGCTTTATATTTTTTTCACTGAACTTCATTAAAGCACCTGCACATATATTTCTTTAGACAAGTAACCATAGAAAAACGGTGTTTCATAGGCTCAGTCCTGAATCCACTTCTAGTTAAGATTGTCATCAATGACTTGGATACTGCAACAGCATGCTCATTAAGTTCGTAGATGAGACTGAATTTAAAGTGGAGGCTAAAGCCTTGGGGGATGCGATTAGAATTGGAAATGACCTCAACAAATTGGACAAGTAATCACAAACTAACAGGATGAAGTTCAGTAAAGACAAGGGCAAAGAGGAAGTCAAGAACTCAAGAGAAAATAAAGACAAGAAAAGTCTGAAGACATGGAAATGGCAGGTCAGGCTGAGCTACCAAAGGTATGGGAGTTGCAGCAAGCCTCGAATTAACTTGGTCTGACTGCAGCAGGGTCAGCATTTGCCACAGTACAAACCGATGCAGATAGTTGGGGCCCTATGTTTTCTGGGAAGGAGAGCTGTGCTTCTCAAGGTTTTATGGAAAATTCACCCCAAATGGTTCTCCTTACAATAGAATTGTGTCCACTAAAAAGAAACCTGGCATAAAAGCTAGTGGTTAGTATTGTTCATAAATTTTTTTTATTGGTTGTTCAAAACATTACAAAGCTCTTGACATATCATATTTCATACATTAGATTCAAGTGGGTTATGAACTCCCATTTTACCCCAATTACAGATTGCAGAATCACATTGGTTACACATCCACATTTTTACATAATTCCATATTAGTAACTGTTGTATTCTGCTACCATAAATTTTAAAAACTCCTAATCAAACAAACAAAACATAAAAAAAAATCCTTTCATTATTTTATGACTACCTGGGTTGATAAAGTGTGTGGTCCTCACCTATGCAAGCTACCTACTACATAGGTTCTGTCTCAGTCACAGGGAAACCTAGCCACTCCTTGGCCTTAAGCTTCCCCAACATTAATGTTACAGTATTTAATACTGTTATTGCCATTTAAAAAAAAAATCAGTGTGTCACTGAGATGCTTGAACATCTTATCTATAGGTAGCACTCTGTAATGTGTAATTATTCCCACTTAAAAATGGATTCAGAGTAGAGGAGGATAGCCCATGAGGAGAACCCATTGAAAGGGCAACAATAGCATAGCTAGACGAAGTGAGTTGGATGCTGAACCAGGACCAGAGACAGCAGCTCTGGGGAGCAACAAAGTGAAGACGGTATTAATATATGTTATGGTTTAGAATGCGGAGTCCCCCAAAAGCTCCTGTGTGATGCAGGAAGGTTCAGAGATAAAATGATTAGATAAGAAGAACAGTAACTTAATCAATCCATCTTAGTTTGAATGGACTAACTAGGTGGTAACTGTGGGCAGGTGGGGTGTGGCTGGAAGAGGTGGGTCACTGGGAGGACACCCTGCCTGGAAGGGTTCATCTTCCCTGAGGCCCCTCCCCTTTTTCTGTCTCTCTCTGCTTCCTGTCTGCTACAGAGCAGTATTCTTTCACCACATCCTTCTGCCATGATGCTCTGCCTCACCTTGAGCCCCAAGCAATGGAGTCAGCCAACCACGGACTGAACCTCTAAAACCATGAGCCAAAATAAGCTTTTTCTCCTCTAAGTTGTTCTCGTTGGGTATTTTGGACACAGCAATGAAAAGCTGACTAACAGAATGTGTGAGAGAAGGTAGAGTTGATGACAGTAAGATAAGAGGCAGGACAGAAGTAGGGGTTTTGCCTATCCCTTATTAATGTCCCCCTTCCATACAAAGCCCTGAATTGAATTTCCACATTAACTAACTTAATATTCAGACCTATGGATAGGGCTGGTGTCTACGTTTTACAGATGTGAAAACTGAGGGAAGGGGTAGAAAGGTTCCTTGTCGAAGGGCACGGTTAGTTGGAAGAATCAGCATGTGAACCGGGTTTGTGTGAATTCAAAATCTGTTCTTTTTGGACTCAATAATTTGCCTCAAAATTTTTTTTAAGAAAGCAAGGAAAGGTGAAGAACAGCAGATGGTGAAAGGGAAGGAAGAGGATCTGGGAAATCTAATAAGTGAAAGGGACTGAAAAAAAAAAAAGAGAAAGTACATTCGAGAAAGGCAAAAACAGAAGCAGCAGCCTTGGTAGGGGAAACAGGTAAGAAATGGAGGAAGGAAAGACTGTAGCAAAAGGAAGGAGGAGAAGCGTGAACCCCGAAGAGGTACAGTAAGCTCTGGTCAGAGAGCTGAGTGCTGGTAGGACATCCTTCTTCCATAGAGCACTGTATTCTTCCAGTCTTTCTGCAGTATTGGATCCTATTGAGAACGGCAGAATTTATAGAAGTCCAAAAGAACCTTGTGAATGTCTGTTGGAAAATAAGAATGTTTAACAGGGCAGTAAATGGAACACGTGTGGCAACTTAAAAGGAAATGGGACATCGAACGTTGAAAAGTGCCCCGTTAATGGTTCTCAGGTATGAAAAGGCTATTAACACAGTGACTGCTGGGAGCCGCAGGATTTATCAGGTATTAGAGCCAACCTCTCAATGTCTATGAACACTGTGACTGTTTTCACTGCCTCTACTACTGCAGAATCTTTTTACTTTTATGGTCAGTCCAAGGTGCTCTGGCACTAGAGTCTGCTGCAGACTGGTTTCCCACAGTCTATGAATCAAGAAACAATGCTCCTAAAATCCTGTTGGGAACTTTAGTAGGGATGGGCATGGTGCAAACCAGACTACCTTCCCTGGAAAGAATATGGATTTGGGGAAGACAAATTCAGTGTTTGAATTTTGACACTGCAACTTATTACTGCAGTGACCTTGGGCAAGTCACTCAACTTTTATGAACATTTCCTCCTTAGTAAATGGAGAAGTTGTAGGTGACCTGAGACAGCAGTCATTCCATGAATGTCCTCTTCCAGTTCCTTTTGCCTACAAG